GGGGGGGGGGAAAGTTATGGTCTTTGAAAAATGAGGACAACTGAGATGTACGGGAGTGGAATGCCTCATCCTGGGAGCAGATGCGGCAGGGGCGAAGGAATTGGGAATAGGGGATAGCATTTTTGCAGGAAGGTGGGTGGGAGGAGGAGTATTCTAGGTAGCTGTGGGAGTCGGTGGGCTTGAAATGAATATCGGTTTCTAGGTGGTTGCCCGCTATGGAGAGAGAGAGGTGTTAGAGATGGTCCAGGTAAACTTAAGGTTGGGGTGGAAGGTGTTAGTGAAGTGTACGAACTGCTCGAGCTCCTCGTGGGAGTACGAGGCGGCGCTGATAGTCATCAATGTAACGGAGGAAGAGGTGGGGTTTAGGGCCGGTGTAGGTACGGAAGAGGGATTGTTCCGTTTTGCAACTTAAACTATCCACTGATGTATATTGTTCAGCTGGTGTGATACAATATTGCTTTTTGAAGGAGTCGGGGGAAGAATGTGAGACCAAGAGAAACAAATAATCTTTTGAGTTAAAGCAATTGTGCCTGACAACAGCTCTGATTGAGGTGCAGAGTAATAGAAAGTTGTATCTGTGCACCAAAGGAGAAACTCTCTACAGAGCATCCATCTTCCCCTTTGAAGACAAAAACCAAGCAAGTTTAAAAGAGAAAAAAAACCCAGGTTCACTTGCTCAACTATAAAATTGAAAAATAACACTACTCTGTAGGTTGGTCATGATTAAAATGAAAAGAGGAGATGGAGTTATTTTTCTCCATTTCAAATTTTGTTTCCCTCTCTAGATTTTTCCACCCATAGTACTGGTGTGAGCCTTTGAGTATATGTATGTATTTGGGGGTTTTGAAGGGGTATAGTGACCAATTCATCGTCACTATACCCTTGATGTGTGATGGGAACCTGGCCTGCAAGGGCACTGATATCTTAATAATCAGGCTCTAGGGATAAAATGGGGACATCAGTTGAGCCCCTTTGTTACAACTAAAATAAGAAGGGTGAAGGATCATTTGGGCCTGCACTGTGAGGAAAAACTGAGTAGGAACATCATAGATCACAGGACGATCCTGCAAGTCACTGTAGTGAACAATTTCAAAATCTAATCCTATTGATCTAAAGACAGCTGCACAATACACTGACAATATCAAAGAAGGATTCAAAGAGGGAGAAGTAAAAGTTTATTTTTGAATTCAGGGCTGGAAAAATGTAAGGCTACCTCAAGGGTTACTCCCATTTTCTATTCAATCAATATGCTTCTGGAATAGGTGGGAATTAAACCCAGCTCTCCTTGTTCAGAAGTAGGGACACTACTGGCATCACAAGAGCCCTCTCCTCAGTAATCTGAAGTCCAGTGATTAAGCAATTTAGTTGTCCTTGATTCCCACTTAATCAGTATGTCAACATAGCTCAAACCATCCAAGGGAGCATGCAGTGTTCAGAAGGAACATGGTTTCCAGGGACCATCAGAAACCTATTTTCACCACCCAAGATAATAGTTAAAATGTTGCAAGTTCAACGGGTGTCTTTTCAGTAGCGTTCTATTTTGATTGAACTAGTTCAAAGATGTAATTACATACCCCTGGAACAAGTGTACCCATTGTACCATTAAAACAATGGGTTCCATTTGATTTGGATCAATTAATACCTCAGTTCAATTGTGACCTGATCTCATGAAGTACCAAGTGAGAGAGTAGCAATGTGCTCTGGGGTGGTATTTTGTGATTTCTCCAGTCAACAAGAGACCATGGAGCAACGCAGATTTACTATACCTCATTTTGCCCACTGCTTCAAGCATATGGCTTGTACAACTGCAAATCAAACTGCAGCTGATGTGCCCTCACAAGATGAGTGTTATTAGGAGAGGGTTAGATGTGTGGAAAGAGATAGTGGCAAAGTCTTTTCAGTAACTGCTTCGAGCTAAGACCACAGGACAGGCTACCTTGCTTGAAGTCAGTGATAAACACACACGAAAAGTCATTACCACACAAGAGGATAAGTCAGCTGTAGTAGATAGTGCTAAACTCCCATAATGTTGGTTACAAGCAGTTGCCCTCAAAATTGCAGAAATGGAGAAGCAAGTGCTGCTTGGGCCTTGACTCTTGCACTTGGTCCAGATTCCAATAACCAGGCTACTATGATGTGGCGTGGTATGCTCAGGTGAGACTAGGGACCAAGGCAAAAGCAGAGCCAGAGCCCATCAGTTTTGTCCCTGCCGATACTAAAATCTCTGATGGCATGACCTGGAGATTGAGTGAAAGCAACTCGAATGAGTATTTTCACCATAAGTAAGAACAGGAGAGAAAAAAAAAAAAAGTGAAAACAGCATAGCTGCCACAAATCCAACAGTTCTTCGCACAAGCTAGGTTGGAGTTTACTATTGGAGATCATTGTTTGACAGTGAAGGAGTTATGCTCAGAACAGAAACTGGCATTTTGGTTTGTGAAAAAGCAAGTAGAGGAACAGGTTAAGAGAACTATGCTGGATTTTCTGTTGGACTGTGTTTAAAATGATAAAATGTTTGTTTACAATTCTTAGCTGTTCAGTGTATCTATTTAACCACTGCTATGCTTCATCTGGTGTTTCAATTAAATCCTGAGGTGGTTAGGTTTCCCAATACTTGGCAAAACTGGCTGGCTAGGTGTAAAAGCTGAAGCAGCGCAACACACTCACCTCACAGGAGCATTTCAGAGATTGAAACACTGCAGTAACACCAGTGGAGAGATTCACAGTTGCAGGAAAGGGAAGCACCACTTCAGGGTCTCAATATGCATGATATACTAATTCTATAGTCAAACCAGAAAGCATTCAACCAAGAACCGGTGAGCTGATTTTTTTTTTTTATTGCCATGAGGAATTCAACAAAACAGTCCAAAGTTTTGTATATAGTGTTAAACATCACAAGTTATTTAGAATATATGGTAATAATCTGCCAAGAAACTCAAGTTTGATATATACATCAGCATTTCTGCCAGGTATGCACATGTCAGATCCACTTTTCCACATCAACAGGTTTAAAAGCAGACCATCATTAGCTAGACTGAAAGGCTGATATACATTCAGTACATTGAGTTATATTTCCATGAGCTGCTTGTATTGGTCAATTACAGGTACTTGGGGAGATCCTTTTCAATCACCTGTTTGAAATAAAAGAAACAGTGAAACAAACTTCAGATGGATGGCTTCATTCTGAATGCTTGCCAAGTTCCAGGAATTCACACATTCAACCTTCTTGTTTACAATTGCAAAATTAAGTGTACTAGCAATGTTGACTGACCTCCAATACAAATTGTTTTAGTGGTAGTTGTTTGCTTTGACTAATGCTTTTCTCATTGAACTACTAGTCAATCATCAGTTCACAAAACAGTATTTCTAAAGGATGAGGGCTATTTCTTATTTGGTCAGATTTGAGTATTTAAAATACTTGCCACTTAATATGAAAATCATGTAGCATGGAGAAAAAAAAGCCCACAGCTCACCAACTCTACTGCCAATATGGTTTAAGAGACAAGGTGCAGGGCTGGATGAACACAGCAGGCCAAGCAGCATCATAGGAGCAGAGAGGCTGACGTTTCAGGCCTAGACCCTTCATCAGAAAAGGGTTGGTTTGCACAGGCAACTGGTTTGTAGAGTTACACTAGTATATTTAATCTTAAGCATCAGCTTAAGTTACCATGAAGGACTTAATCTCTCCCCTTGCCAGAGGTGGTGATCAGGTTAAACCATCACCAGTCATCTCCCTTTTAAAAATGAGAACAGCTCTGATCCAGTAGTATTATGGTGACCAGATACTGGTAAAGTGGGTATGGTGGACACAAGGAGGAGGATGAGAGAGAGCTCAATTATGAGCTGAAGTCCCAAACTCTTCAACCACATGCTTGCTTTGAGAGCAAACAACCAGGCAAGTGGGCTCACTGATATTGGGAAATGGAAGACAAAAGTCCCAGCCCTAGCAAGGAAGGGGGAGATTAGACTATACAGATGAAGAACAAAAAAAGTAGAAACAGAACCTCATCCTGCAGAAAACAAAAGGATGAGAAAAGATCCAAAAGGGAGGTTATGGCTGCATTAAATTAAAAGCCAGATGCCTTCTCAGAAGGCAGTGTTGTTAGGTTTTATGTAAGACAAAGTTGCATTATCTACATCATAAATCACTTGAAGTACAATAATGTTTATACCTCTTGCAATATGTTTCTATTTAGTGTTTTTTACATAATGTGGACCTATGAATCAATCAGCTGGTAGACTCCTGGTCCCAGTTAAAACTTTGTGGTAATTGGTAATTCTTCCTTATAAAGGGCATCCTGTATGCTCAGTATGTTGATAACTGACAGTTTATTGGATGGAATGTTACTGTAGTGCTAAAGTTTCTCAAGGTTAATTTTAAAGTTATTTTTAAAACCCACTCTGGTTTTGTGGGAAGCAAATTTTAAACATAAAAACTTTGTACTTGTGTGCAACTAGTATTCAGTTTGTCACTTAAACAAAACATCCACTTTATTGGTGCACATAGTTAGGGGTGGAGGTCAGGTAGCTCTGACTGGATAGCTCATTTTTGCTAAAAACAGATTCATTTCCCATACTAGTTGAGGTACATTAAAAAAGTCCCATCTTCTCAACCTCACCCCTCACCTGGGCCAAGGTAATGCTCAGGTGAAGCACACCACTAGTTGTCTCAGCCTGGGCTTACAGTAATTAGGGGTGTTTTTGTATTGGTGTACAGTTTTACATCCACAAATGACACCTTAGAATTTTTAAAACAGGCACTAATTTTGGACATACAATAGCAACAATTGTGACTAATAGTTACAATCATCTAATGCCTTTATATATATAATAGAGTACTTTACAGGAAGAACCATACCTATTTAAATTATTTTGCACATGTAAAATGCTATGGATTTTTCATCCAAACTTCAGGTCTCTAGTCATTTTAAATCAACAGTAAAACAGAGTAAATAGAATTCTGATTGGAAATAAAGTTAAAACCTTAAATGTAGCTATTTTCCTAGGACACTACAGCATTTTACACTCAAGGGCTTAACTTCAAAGTGCAGTCACTAATAGGCAAATGTAACAAAGTTCAGTGAATGTGACAAAGAATGTTGACCAGAACATTGAGACTTCTATTCTTTGTAGTGGCATCAGTTTTGTTTCTAAAAAGAAACAAACTAAAGTCATGGGTGGGGTATTGGAACATCTCAGGAGATGTTGTCAGGAATGCAGGGTTTGAGCTATAGGGAGAGGCTGGGGCTATTTTCCCCTGGAGCATCAGAAGCTGGGGAAGAGACTTTAGAGAGGCATAGATAGGGTGAGTAGTCAAAAAGGTCTTTTTCCAGGATAGGGATGTCCAAAACTTGACGGCATAGGTTTACGAGGAGAAGGAAAGATTAAAAAGGGATCCGATGGGTAACTTTTCCTGCAGAGGGTGGTGTGTATATGGAATGAGCTGCCAGAGGAAGAGGAGACAGGTACAAATACAACATTTAAAAAGCACCTGGATGTGTATAATGAATAGGAAGGGTTGAAGGGGACATGGGCTAAACGGGACTAGATCAGTTTAGGATATGTGGTCAGTATGGACAAGTTGGACCAAAAAAAGGGTCTGTTTCCATGCTGTACAATTGACTCAACTTTTAAAAAAGATGTTGCATAAATTGTATGATCAACTTCAGCACCTTCTCCCAAATTAGAACTAGGCATGGATACCTTGGAGGAATATCACCCATCTGTATGGGAAGCAGCTGTACAAGGGCATTTTGTATAAATAATGTAAATATTTCTATCCTGATGCCAGAAGACCAAGACCAGAGGCAACTGCAATATTTAGAGCTAGTATAGTGTCAAGAGAAGTGAAATAAGTTAACTGACTCAAAGAAGTTAGATTGATGCATTTAGTGGGTGGGGTTCAACTGCAAATGTCTGGATATAAACTCAAACTGCAAGGGTTGTATTACTAGTGAGAATGTCAAAACATTCATTAGATCTCAAGCCAAGTACTATTTTTCATTACCTGATTTTCTTGGTCCTTTCTTCCCCCATCCCTCCCCACTACTTTCTAGTTGTTTCTGTTCTTTGCCAATGCTCTTGTTGACTCGCCTGCTGGTCTCTTGACTGTCACTGCACTGAAGTTCCAAAGATTAGAAAACCTATTCAAGATGCAAGACAGCTTCTAATGGAAGACTAAAGGTCTCTCTTCTGGGAAGTGATGTAGAAAGTTTCAAATGCAGAAGCTACTCCACAAATAAACACCACAATGAGCTAACAAGGTGTAGAGCTGGATGAACACAGCAGGCCAAGCAGCAGAGGAGCAGGAAGGCTGACATTTCAAGCCTAGACCCTTCTTCAGAAATGGGGGAGGGGAAGGGGGTTCTGAAAAATAGGGGGGGTGGGGGGAGGAATAGAGATAGAAGATGGATAGAGGAGAAGATAGGTGGAGAGGAGACAGACCGGTCGAAGAGGCAGGGATGGAGCCAGTAAAAGGAGAGTCTAGGGAGGACGGACAGGTCAAGGGGGCAGGATGAGGTTAGTAGGGAGGAGATGGGGGTGGGGCTTTAGGTGGGAGGAAGGACAGGTTAGGGAGACGGGGACGAGCTGGGTTGGTTTTGGGATATGGTAGGGGAGGGGAGATTTTGAAGCTTGTGAAGTCCACATTGATACCATTGGGTTGCAGTTCCTGCAACCCTCGGGTAGGATCGTTGTGGCACTGCAGGAGGCCCAGGATGGACATGTCATGTCGTCTGAGGAATGGGAGGGGGGAGTTGAAATGGTTCGTGACTGGGAGGTGCAGTTGTTTATTGCAGACTGAGCGTAGGTGTTCTGCAAAGCAGTCCCCAACCCTCCACTTGGTCTCCCCGATGTAGAGGAGGCTACAACGGGAACAGCGGATGCAGTATACCACATTAGCAGATGTGCAGGTGAACATCTGCTTGATGTGGAAGGTCTTCTTGGGGCCTGGGAGGAGGGGGGGGGGGGGGGGGGGGGGGGAGGTGAAGCACTTCCTGCGGTGGCAGGGAAAGTGCCAGGTGTGGTGGGGCTGGAGGGAAGCGTGGAGCGGACAAAGGAGTCACAGAGAGAGTGGTCCCTCCAGAAAGCAGATAGGGTGGGGAGGGAAAGATGTCTTTGATGGTGGGGTCGGATTACAGATGGTGGAATTGTTGGAGGATGATGTGTTGGATCTGGAAGTTGGTGGGGTGGTACGCGAGGACGAGGGGGATTCTGTTTTGGTTGTTATTGCGGGAAGGGGGTGAGAGGGATGAGTTGCGGGAAATGCGGGAGACTTGGTCGAGGGCATTCTTGACCGAGGAGGAGGAGGGAGTTGTGGTCCTCGAAAAACAAGGACGAGGACATCTGAGCTGTACGGGAGTGGAATGCCTCATCCTGGGAGCAGATGCGGCAGAGGCGAAGGAATTGGGAATAAGGGATGGCATTTTTGCAGGAAGGTGGGTGGGAGGTGTATTCTAGGTAGCTGTGGGCTTGAAATGGATATCGGTTTCTAGGTGGTTGCCCAAGATGGAGACAGAGGGGTCCAGGAAGGAGAGAGAGGTATTAGAGATGGTCCAGGTGAACTTAAGGTTGGGGTGGGTGTTGGTGAAGTGGATGAACTGTTCAAGCTCCTCATGGGAGCACGAGGCGGTGCTGATACGGTCAATGTAACAGAGGAAGGGGTGGGGTTTAGGGCCAGCATAGGTATGGAAGAGGGATTGTTTATCTCCCAAACCATCCACAACCTCATCACCTCAGGTGACCTCCCACCTCATCGTTGCCCAACCCTGCACCACCTGCTTCTATCTCCTTCCCAAAATCCACAAACCTGACTGCCCTGGTCGACCCACTGTCTGCCTGCTCCTGCCCCAAGATTTTCTCCCCTTTAGTCCAGGAACTCCCTACCTACATCTGTGACACCACCCACACCACAATTCCCCAGTCCCCAACACCTCATTTTTACCATGGACGTCCAGTCCCTATACACCTGCATTCCACAGATAGCCTAAAGGCCCTCTGCTTCTTCCTGTCCCGCAGGCCCGACCAGTCCCCCTCCACTGACACCCTCATCCGCTTAGCCGAACTCATCCTCACCCTCAACTTCTCTTTCAATTCCTCCCACATCCTACAGACAAAGGGGGTGGCCATGGGTACCCGCATGGGCCCAAGCTATGCCTGCCTCTTTGTAGGTTACGTGGAACAATCCCTCTTCCGTACCTACACTGGCCCTAAACCCCACCTCTTCCTCCATTACATTGATGACTGTATCGGCGCTGCAAAAATGCAGCCAGGAGGAGCTCAAACAGTTCATCCACTTCACCAACACCTTCCACCCCAACCTTAAGTTCACCTGGACCATCTCTAATACCTCTCTCCCCTTCCTGGACCTCTGTCTCCATTTCCGGCAACCACCTAGAAACCGATATCTATTTCAAGCCCACTGACTCCCACAGCTACCTAGAATACACCTCCTCTCACCCACCTTCCTGCGCAAAAAAAAACCATCCTTATTCCCAATTCCTTTGCCTCTGCTCCCAGGGAGGCATTCCACTCCTGTACATCTCAGATGTCCTCGTTTTTCAGGGACCACAACTCCACCCCCCGGTGATCAAGAATGCCCTCAACCGTGTCTCCCGCAACTCATCCCTCACACCCCCTCCCCAACAACCACCAAAACAGAATCCCCCTCGTCCTCACGTACCACCCCACCAACCTCCGGATCCAACGCATCATCCTCCGGCACTTCCACCATCTGCAATCCGACCCTGCCACCAAAGACATTTTTCCCTCCCCACCCTATCTGCTTTCCGGAGGGACCACTCTCTCCGTGACTCCTTTGTCCGCTCCACCACACCTGGCACTTTCCCTGCCACCGCAGGAAGTGCTTCACCTCACCCCCAAGAAGACCTTCCACATCAAGCAGATGTTCACCTGCACATCTGCTAATGTGGTATACTGCATCCACTGTTCCCGATGTAGAGGAGGCTACAACGGGGAAACCAAGCGAAGGGTTGGGGACTGCTTTGCAGAACACCTACGCTCGGTTCGCAATAAACAACTGCACCTCCCAGTCACGAACCATTTCAACTCCCCCTCCCATTCCTCAGACGACATGTCCATCCTGGGCCTCCTGCAGTGCCAAAACAATGCTACCCGAAGGTTGCAGGAACAGCAACCCCTATTCCGCTTGGGAACCCTGCAGCCCAATGGTATCAATGTGGACTTCACAAGCTTCAAAATCTCCCCTCCCCCTACCACATCCCAAAACCAGCCCAGCTCGTCCCCACCCTGTCCTTCCCCCCACGCCGCCACCCCCACCCCCCAAATCTCCTACGTACTAACCTCATCCTGCCCGTCCTATCTCCTCCCCACCTACACTCACCTTTACTGGCTCCATCCCCGCCTCTTTGACCGGTCTGTCTCCTCTCCACCTATCTTCTCTTCTTTCCACCTCCCCCCACTCCCTATTTATTTCAGAACCCCCTGCCCCTATTTCTGAAGAAGGGTCTCGGCCTGAAATGTCAGCCTTCTTGCTCCTCCGATGCTGCTTGGCCTGCTGTGTTCATCCAGCTCTACACCTTATTTCATTCGCCAGTATCTACAGTTCCTACTATCTCACCACAATGAGCTAGTTAGTTTATTGCCAAAAAATAAAGAAACAGGGACCACCTGCATACTAATGTCCTCAATACCTCTATTAGGAAAGAAAGAAAGACTATGCACCAGCTATAAGAAAACATTTTACACCAGAAAATATTTACTGGAATAATTCTCCTCATGTAACTAATTCCACATTGTATTAGTTACATAACAGAATCAGAGCTACAGGAATCCATCAAAACAGAATTGGGTATTGCCATGTCATACTTTGACTGTCACTTTACAGTACTGAATGGGGCTAAAGCCAGCAGGTAAATTGAAATGAAAAAAAATTTATCTACAATCTTTTGTTGGTTCAGTTAGCAAATTAACATGTAGCAAAGCCATATTGAATTTAGACGAGCATCTCAATTTGTTCCATGCTGTTATTCAGGGGACAGCAGGGAGGTGCCATTTAGCTTGAGTACTCAGGTAGAAAAGAGGGAAATTAGAATTTCTCTGATCACTGAACACTTCCTGCTGCAATGTGGCAGAAGGATTGGTGCTAGATCAGTCAAGTTCCAGCTTCCTGGTCAGTCTGCCAATCCACCACAGATGATCACTGGGGGTTGGGGGAGTACCAAGATCTGTCATTAAACCAGATCTACGGGTCCATGTTTTCTACAAAGTATAGGTAGATATTACAGAAAGAGCCGATTCTCAATAGCTGGATTACTGAATTACAACTTTAGGTTTGAATTACACAATTTTAATGCCCAGAAGTTGACCATTCTGCACTCACTCTTCAAGTAACATCTCAGCACGATTCCCCTGACTTTTCCAATACTGTGGACATTGAACCTGCCTCCCCTGCACCCTCACCATTTGTGCTATACAAGGTGATGTGGTTCCTTACAGTCACGAACAGTCCCCCTCCCCAGCTAATTAAATACAGGTAATTTAGCCAGCTCAGCACTCAGAGGTTGCAGTCATTGGATTGGAGGTGCCATAGTGGGACCAGGGACCTGTTAATGGGGTCCTACTCAACCAACCACCAGCCCTGCCAGGTGGACATTCTACATGGGCTTCTCCTGCTGCCAAGGAGAGCATCCTCAAGTGGGCACATGGATTTAAAGCTGCCCTAAAGTTTCCAGTGTTTGATAATAAAGATGAAACCAGGAGCATGGCAAGAGGATGAGGGAAGGCATTTCACTACCAGATTAATGTAGCCATTTTTCTGCAGCAGGTTAAGTAAAAAGTTAGCTGCTATAACTCACTTCTTGGATTGAATTGTTCTGTGTACAGTATCTGAAGTTCTCTGCATTACAAGTTAGAATCAACTTTATCCTTTGAGATAAATTTGAACTATTGTGAATTTAAAGTTTTAGATGAGCATCTAAACCCAGTGTTGGACAGACTTCTAGAAGAGAAAGTTTATTAAAAAAACAAAGCTGCAATTTTGAGACTTCTTGTTTATATCAGCAATGATTGAATCATAGAGCAGACTAAAGCAGGCTGAATGGTCTAATTCTGTTCTGTAGTCTTATGGGCACAAAGGTTATTTTAAAATAGAGCATTTGACAGACTTCAGTAAAAATATTCCTGCTGTACACATTTGGTTTGGTTGGTGCCGCAGGTCAAATAGGTCCAGTTGGTCACCCATTCTGTCTAATGGCTCGCTCCAAAAACTGGAAGCGTGCAGTTCACAAGGTTTGTTTAAATTGAAAAAAACCAAACACCACAACTTACCACAGGGTCATCCATGGGGGAATACCTCTTGACAACTTGACCTTCCCGGTCAATCAGAAACTAGAAGAGAAGAGAAAATAAAGTTGCCACTTGGGATTGTATCAGAAGCCAACATCTTTCCACAAGATGCCCCACATGCAACATGTCAATGTGCAGTGTAATTCAATGCAACATCTCCTCAACCCACCACCTCCCAGATGTCAGACATTTGGAATAAGCAGGTTACATCTCCAGTTATATACTGGAAAGGTTGAAGATATTGTCTGCAGTCCTACACATCCCCTTAACCTGGTAAATATCTTGAGGTTAAAGCAGACATTTGGCATCATGTCATGAGATACACTTAATCTTTCAAACATTGATCACCAAGAGTGCCTATTTCAAATTCCGATAGGACACATCTCCAGTGCTTCAGCTTCAGAATCCCTTCTCCATGCTATCGACTCTCTAAATTGGAGGCTTTAAAAAAAAAAAGCTTCTGCATCCCACTTCACCTGTCAATTCCTGGTTAAACTAGTTAAAAAAAAATATGAAATATTTCCAGTCTGGTTACCATCTCTAGTCACCTCCACTCTTACGACTCACAGGAAGTATTTTCACCTAGTTAATTCTGGCCACCAGAACATTGCCCATTTCAAGACTGTTCCACCATTGGTAGCTGTGATTTCACTCAATAGACTAAGGTCGAATTCACTTGTTGCTTTCCTCAGAGGCCTACCTTTTTGATCAAGTTGTCATCATCTGACCCAATAGCTCCTTGTGATTCTGTCATACTTGTTTTATGAAAAAAGTGTCAGGAATGTGATAAACACTTAAATGTTTCAAACAAAAAAAAAAAATCTAAGTAATCCAGCTTTAGATTTGGATTACATGCCCTGTATAGAAAATTATACTTGATATTAGAGTAACTAGCTTCCATACCTTAGAGAAGTTCCACTTAATAGCACTGTAAAAACAAAATACAAAATGTTAGTTTGTCTTGGAAGAGGCAGTTTAATATTAGTTCTAATGCTACATTAAGGACTTATCTTTATTTTTAAAAGATAGAATCCCTACAGTGTAGAAACAGGCCTGTCAGCTCAACAAGTCCACACCGACTTTGAGCTTCCCACCCAGATCCATCCACCTAATCTACACATCCCTGAACACTACAGGCAATTTATCATGGCCAATCCACCTAGCCTGCACATCTTTGGACTGTGGGAGGAAACCAGAGCACCTGGAGGAAATCCACGCAGACATGGAGAGAATGTGCAAGCTCTGCAGACAGTTGCCCACAGGTGGAATTGAACCTGGGTTCCTGGTGCTGTGAGGCAGCAATGCTAACCACTGAGCCAGCTGTTTAATATTTTTAAAATTGAAGTGAAGGGAATTGGGTTGCACCTAAAAGAGGGACCTGGCACTTTAAACCAGAGAGATTTCAGATTTTACAAATTATATTGTGGAAGATTTCACTACAATTTGGGCTGAAGTAGTAGTATTGAGAGTTGCCTTAAATATACTTCTGCTGAGAAAAAAAAAAGAAAGAGATTCCTCTTAAAAAGTGGAAATGCATCATTCCTGGTTTACTAAAAATGTTAGACATAAACATACTTTCCAAAGAGACCTTTCCCTTTAGGCTGCTCCTTCATCCATTTCCACAAAGGGTGAGCATTATCCCCATTGACATCAATTTTGCTGGACATGCCAAACTTCACATTGTACTTATTTGCAAATTCTTTAATTTGTTTCTCATCACCAGGTTCCTGAAACAAAATGGCAATATTAAAAATTTTAGTCTGCAAGTTTAAATTCTATTTGTCAGATTACATTAATATCCAAAATGTATGTGACTACAATTCCAATAGTTAAAAGGTTTTAGTTTTACATCCAGAATTTGTTGGGAATGTATGGATGATTGTTGCTTCATCATTTAAATCAAAAAGGCAGTGGAGTTGTTAAACAGCTCAGTTTGAAGTAGGTTCAAAAATCAGAAATCATAGGACAAGATAATAAGAGCAGAATTAGGCCATACTGCCCAAAGTCTGCTCTGCCGGATGTTTCTCATTCTCCTCATAACCCTGGATCCCCTTACTAATCAAGAACCTCTGTCTTAAATATACTCAGCAACTTGGCCTCCACAACACCTTGCAGCGATGAGTTCCACAGATTAACCATCTTATGGTTGAAGAAATTCCTCATTTCAGTTCTAAACCCAGGATAAATGACAGACCAAGAGTAAAAAAAGTGCCAGATGGATTTCAATATAATATCCATTTTGGATTGGCAAGATAGACCAGGGTACTTCCTAGATGGTATGACCGTTAATAGTAGGTGCTCAAAGAGATTTGGGACTCAAGTAGATAAAGGGGTTCATCTTTAAAATGTCACAAACCGATGCAGGGGTAGAAAGAAATCACCAAGAAATCTAAGGGAATGCTGGTCTTTATAAATCAAGAGTACTGGAGTAAGAGGATGCAGAACTTATGCTGCAGCTATGCAAAACCCTCGTTAGACCCCAACTGAAGTGTGTAATAGATCTGGGCACCAAACCTTAGGAAGAATTTTGGCCTTGGGCAGACTACAATGTCCATTTACAAGAATAAATACCTGGATTTTGTGGGTTACATTAGAGGAGAAATTACACAAATGAAGCATGTTTTCTCTAGAAGTTAGAAGGTTAAGGAGTGATCTGATCAAAGTTCATATTATTAAAACAGGAAGACAGGGTAGATAAACATGAATTATTTCCACTGGTTTGAGATTCTAGAGCCAGGAGGCAGTCTAAAAGTTGGGGCCCGACCATTCTGAAGAGGGGTTAGGAAGCAGTTCTACATGCAAAGAGTAGTGGAGGTTGGAACGCTCTTCCACAAAACAGTAATTGATGCTAGATCAGATATTAGTTTTAAGATCGGAGTTAGACAAATTTTTGCCAGGCAAAAGGGATATGGGCCAAAAGCATGCATATAGATAGTTAGACCATAGATCTGCCATGATCTTACTGAGCAGTGGAACAGGCTCAAGGGACTGAATGGCCTACTCCTATAAAAATTTTCGCTTAGATTTTAGAGAGGACAGTACTCTAATTCACCCTTTTTGGACTGTACATTAAGAAACAACACTGCACTCTTAAAACCAATGGGTTGGAAAGATGAAGAAAATCTGCATATATTGCATGTTCAACATAGTGGTTGTTGTTTAGTTCACCAAGCTAACTAGTTTTCATGCAAATGTTTTGTCGCCTTTCTCTGGGATATTGTCAGTGCTATGTAGCCTCCGTTGAAGCACTGTTGTGTCCCACTCTGACCTTACATGATCTGTCATGGTGGGCAGTCTTGCTTCCGATTTTGTACTGTTGTGGTATGTAGATTACGTCTATTTCAACATGTTCGTTAATTGCAGCAGTGATCGAAAGCCAGGCCTCCAGGAATTTTCCTGCTTATTACTGTCTTGCTTGTCCTAGTACTGTAACTTTGTCCCAGTTAAAATTGGCGTCCTTCTATGTCAGTGAATTGAAGGAAGGGAGAGTTGGTCGTGCCGTTTTGCTGTGAATTGGTGTTCACGTATCCTGTCTGTCCTACGTAGTGTTTCTCAGTTGCTGCATGGTATTTTATAATATCACATTTGTCCTGCTCATTGTGGGTATGTCATCTTTCGTCTTTGTGTATAACTAGCAAAGTGTGGCTGTTGGTTTGTGTGCTATCCTTATTCCAAGAGGTCGTGGGAGTCTTGTAGTCAGTTCTGATGTGGTTCTAACATAGGGTAGAGTGGCCAGTGTATTGGGTATACAGTGTCTTCTTGGTGTTATTTGTTTGCCAAACATTGGCAGACAAAGCTATTAGGATAACCATTGTTTACAATGGCTCTGTATGGATGTTCCTTAGTTTTTGTGCAGCTCCACGGTGTTATGAGTTATTGCTCATTTGTGGATGCTGGGGTGGTTACTCTTGTAATTCAGGATTTGGTCGGTGTGTACTCTTTACATCAGTAAGAGATTCACTATTGTTCATGCTACCATTACATCTAGAGAAACAGGAGTTGATTGTTGTTCTCCTTCCTTGAAGAGCTTGATCCCAGTGATACACTGCCATAGAAGGACATCAATTTAACTGGGACAAAGTTAGAGTACTAGGACAAGCAAGACAAAGACAAGCACAAGAATTCTTGGAGGCCTGGTTTTGAACCACCAATGCCATTAAAAACATGTTGAAATAGACCCCATCTACATGCAACTACAGTAGAAAACCCAGAAACAAGACTGTCCACCATGCCAGACCAGACTGAACAGCACTTCAATGGAGGGTACACTGCACTGAATGTCACCTAGAAGGGAGACGAAACATTTGCATGAAGACCAGTCAGCTCGGCAAACCAACCAACATCAACTGCAACCCAAGCTACAGATCTTCATTGAAACATTTGTGTTTTCCCGCAGCTTACCTGCTTACCAAACTGGTTACAGGGGAAACCCAAAATCCGTAAACCTTTCTCAGCATATTTAGTATCCAGTTCAACAAGCTGAGTGTAGTTTACGGAAGTCTTTCCTCATTTAGAGGCCACATTTACAAAAATGCAGACAAGACCCCTAAAGAAGAGACAAAAAAAAAAACTACTTACTTTGCACGTCAAAACAAATAAGTCAATGTTAGTGGTGTTAACCACAAGTGTGGCTGGTGGGGCAGGGAGCACAGGAACAGTGGTCACAGACAAGAGATGGCACGGATTCTAATCAATGTATGCATAAACAGCCATTCTGACATCCGAGCAAGGAGATGGGTCACTCACTGACAGCAGCAGGGAGGAACAGTAAACAAACAAAAAAAAACCAAGCACACAGCCCTGGTTCTGAAATACTCTTGATTCTGAAGGGGCCCCCTCTTGTGCTTAAAAAGTGTTTCCTGTGACTTGTCATGGCTAGTTGTCAGTGGCTGTCTGTGTGGTGACTATTTTGGTGTTTATAGATAATTACTCAAGAATAACTACATAAATGAAAGTACAGCCACTTCTCAGGCTAACTAATGGTACTTGCACAGGTTAAGCAACCAGGGTGGCACGGTTGTGTGTCAACACTGAGGAGCTGGAGGAACACAGCAGGTCAGGCAACAGAGGACGTACTAAAACAGGTTTTGGAGTCTATGCAATTTCTAATAGTGTAAAGAACTGCAACTTTTCTTTGCAGACAAATACAACTTAGAGGATTTTAGGATGCAGTTCTCAGGGACAACAAACAGTAGCCCAGCCAGTGACACTCATCCCATGAATTTAGAATAAAATTCCTTAGAGACAGAGCAAGACAAAGTCTGTTTCTGAACAAAAAAATTGAATCAAAACAATCTTGAAAAAAAGCATTGGAACCCAATAAAGACACAGCAAATCAAGATTTTCAGGCTGGTTGAAATTTAAGAATCAAATTGATCCACACCAGAATCACAAAATGGGTTTTTTCATGCTTGTTTTCTACTGAATTGCAAGGTGTTACCAAGTCACAGGGAGCAATTAACAAATGAGTCACTAAAGAAAAAAGCATGACCATTTTCTATGAACTTCAACAGAATGGTCAGATGTAGTGAAAAGGAGTTTGAGATAGTAGGAACTGCAGATGCTGGAGAATCTGAGATAACAAAGTGTAAAGCTGGATGAACACAGCAGGTCAAGCAGCATCAGAAGAGCAGGAAGGCTGGCGTTTCTTCAGAAGGGTCTAGGCCCAAAATGTCAGCCTTCCTGCTCCTCTGATGCTGCTTGGCCTGCTGTGTTCATCAAGCTTTACACCTTGTTATCTCTGTAGTGAAGAGGACACAGCTTTCAAGTCACAAGCACATTTTGCACTTCTGGCATAAAAGCCATGAGTAATCTAGTTACAATTGGTTTCTTAGTGGGAGCAACTATGCCTAGTTTTGGAAAGTTAGCTATTAACTTAGTCTAGTCGCCTGCAAATTCTCTTTCAAATAGAAGTGCTTTTTTTTTTTTTAAAATAGTTACTACAGGACCTGTAAGGACTCATCCTTTCAGTCTATTAATCCAAGTTATGAACTGGAATATAAAGTTCATCAGCTCTCAGTGATTTCAATTCTTTCATAAAAATGCTGGAAATACTCAGGTCAGACCTGCACAAGAATGTTCACGTTTCAGGCCTTGACTTCCCACCAAACTGGGTTATGAGCAAGAAGTGGGTGGAATAATGTCAGTCAATTCCTCTGAAAATCTGCTAAACTACATGATTTGCAGGGGGTTGATCTTTCACTCGAAATAACCCAGCAGACAACTGGATATCTAACGCACTTGTGTGCAAAGCTTCAAGAGGCCTGAATGCAGAATGGGTTATGTACTAGAATCAAAATGTGGGGGAATTCCTGAGGCACGTGAAAACAGATTGTAGGAATGGTCTATGGTGGAAATCCAGACAGACCTACAAAGCCTATAGCCAACATCAAGTTGGCCAGCAGGAAATTGTCTGTCAGTGAAAAGGGAACAGTCATGCCCAGAGATTTATTTTATTCATTCATGGGAAGTGGGTGAAGCTGGCTGTGACAGCATTTAGATTTTATTCCTCGTTGTCCTCCAGAAAATGATGCCTTCTTGAATCCACTGCAGTCCATCTGGTGTACAATGCAGTCAGAGAGAGAACAGGATTTTAACCCAGCAACACTGAGGGAATTACAATATATTTCTAATTCAGGATGGACAGGTGGTGGTGCTCCAAAGTAGCTGCTGCCCTTGTCCTTCTATGTATTGGTGGTGGATGAAAGTTTGGAAGACGCTATTTCAGAATCTTTGTACATTTCTGTAGTGCATCTGGTTACTGCAGCTATTATAGACTTTAGGCTGTCAAGACAGGGAGGGCAACCCACCATCTACAAGACGAGCCATGTGTAATGGAATACACTCCCTTTGCCTGGATGAGTGCAGTTTCAACATTTAAGCTAACCACCTCTCAGGGAAAAGCAGCCCTCTTGAATGGCACCCCATCCATCACAAATATTTACTTCCTCCATCAATGACTGGGGTAGCAGTTGCCTACTCACCATGGATCCTCTGAAAGCACCTTCCAAACTTGCAACCTCAATCACCTAGATAAGGGCAACAGATACCAAAAAGCACCACCTACAAATTTCTTTGTGTGCCACACACACCAGCCTGACTTGGAACTATGGCCATCACTTCCATTGCGTCAAACCCCAGAACTCCCTTCCTTACACATGAATTGTTCAAGCCAGCCACCACCTTCGAGGACAATAATTGCTGCCTTGATCAGAAATACCCACACAGAGCAATTAAAAGACCTTTTCAGAAGAGAGGTGTGGTGCAGTGGTATGATGTCCCTACCTCTGGACCAGGAAGCCCAGGTACAAGCCCCTCCTGCTCCATACAGCAGCAACTCTGAACAAGCTGTTTAGTAAAAAGCTTATATTTCTTAATTAGTAAGTGAACAAACAAAAAACCTTTCAGACTGAGGTTGGAAACATTGCAAGCAAGCTTTTAGAAACAGTTAAAACATTCTGTAAACAGAATTGAGCAAGGCAGCAGCATGCTTGTCCACTCACCTGTATTCTTCCAGATTCACCTCTTTGCCATCTATGTCCTTGACGCTAAACTGATAAATGGATGTGGCCTTGCTCCAGTCTTCTGGTTGCGCACTCTGAAAGCAATTTTAAGCATGAAGAAAAGAAAAAAAAAAGTGTCCAATACATTCAATAGAAGCTGATTTTACATTTAGCTAAAAAAGCAGTGTATATTTCTTTGTAAATCAAGAGGAGAAAGACAAAAACCCACAAGTATTGGCAAATACTCTAGTCATTTGGATCCCTTCTATCCATAATGCCTGAAAATTGTTAAGATAAAATGTGAGAACATGTTGAATGTAAAGTTAGAACAAGAGATTGGGTATCAATTGACTTAAAACAAATCAATCTGCATCAAAAAATAAAACAGTCTACATTATAGTTCCACAGGCAAACCCTTCCTACAACTGAACATACTTGCAAACAAAAAAGTCACTATCAAAACTCAGGTCTGGCATCATCTGTGGAGAGAAAACAGTTCATGTTTCAAGACCAGTAACCCTTCTTTACAACACCTGCTCTGTTCTGAGAGGTCACAGGACTTGAAGCATGAACTTTGATTTCTCTCTACAGATGCTGTCTGACCTGAGTTTTGCTAGCTGTTTCCACTCGGATCAGCCTTTTTGATCCCTGTGAATCAGAGGATAGACAAAAGGGAAGATTCTGCAGTACAAGGGCTACCCCAGCACACCACTAAAACAAGGCAAACCACAAGATTAAAACAGTCCAAATATTTGCTTGATGAAAAGAAGAAAACCACCCCAGAGAATCCTAGCTGAAGTCAATAATTCACTGCAATCTTTACACATTTCTGTAATTTACATCTTGTTATTTTGCATGATACTCAGCTACTTCAAAAAGAGTATTGAACTATAATAAAGACAACCAAGTTAGATGCCTTTTAAAAATTAAAATTCAACTTGAATGCAAAGATACAACCCATCATTAGCATGTCATCCTTGCCAAACAGGCTGACATTTAGATAATGTCTGAAAAACCTGAAATTAAAATCATTACTCCTACCCAAATCTCACTTCAATAAAAGAAGTTCTACTAGATAGAATAACTAGGTGACAATGCAAGGTAACACTTAAAACTAGCTCAATACCTACAACATTGTGCCCACAGGAGAATAGCAAGGTCACTGGAGCCTTGAGAGAAATTACTGAAGGGATCAGCTACTTGAATGTTCCATGCAGCTTTTAACCCACATGAGAATGGAGACCCAAAGAAGAAATACATGAAATGTAAAATGTTCGTTTGAACCAAACCAGAAGACTATAGTTCACTGGTATATTGGGAGCATGCATAAAAGTTAGGCTAAGGGCTGATCCCTTGTTGACATCCATGGGATTGGACATCAAAAGCAAGTGTTAACGTTTCTGTTGTTATCTAATGGCAAACTAAAACTGGTGTTATGACTTAAAATCACATCTATACTTCACTAAAAAAGTTTGCACAATACAAAAACCTACTATATAGATATTGTACAAAAGCCCAAGCCGTCTATAGTCAACTGCCTCGAGACAACTAATCTGAAATCTCATGAAGAAAGTTAAGGATTACAAAATTTACCTAATTTTCCATCAGAAACAAAAACATTCAAAAGCAGCTAAATCTGGCAATCCAAAAGAAAACAAACATGACAGGTACCAAGACAACAAGGTGCAGGGCTGGATGAACACAGCAGGCCAAGCAGCATCATAGGAGCAGAGAGGCTGACGTTTCGGGCCTAGACCCTTCATCAGAAAAGGGGGAGGGGAAGGGGGTTCTGAAATAAATAGGGAGAGAGTGGGAGGCAGATAGAAGATGGATAGAGGAGAGGATAGGTGGAGAGGAAACAAACAGGTCGAAGAGGCGGGGATGGAGCCAGTAAAGGTGAGTGTAGGTAGGGAGTTAGGAAGGGGATAGGTCAGTCCAGGGAGGACGGACAGGTCAAGGGGGCGGGATGAGGTTGGTCGGCAGGAGATGGAGATGCGGCTTGAGGTGGGAGGAGGGGATAGGTGGGAGGAAGAACAGGTTAGGGAGGCAGGGACGAGCTGGACTGGTTTTGGGATGCGGTGGGGGGAGGGGAGATTTTGAAACTTGTGAAATCCACATTGATACCATTGGGCTGCAGGGTTCCCAAGCGGAATATGAGTTGCTGTTCCTGCAACCTTCGGGTGGCATCGTTGTGGCACTGCAGGAGGCCCAGGATGGACACGTCGTCTGAGGAATGGGAGGGGGAGTTGAAATGGTTCGCGACTGGGAGGTGCAGTTGTTTATTGCGAACCGAGCGTAGGTGTTCTGCAAAGCGGTCCCCGAGCCTCCACTTGGTTTCCCCGATGTAGAGGAAGCCACACTGGGTACAGCGGATGCAGTATACCACATTGGCAGATGTGCAGGTGAACATCTCCTTGATGTGGAAAGTCTTCTTGGGGCCTGGGGGCAGGTGTAGCACTTCCTGCGGTTGCAGGGAAAAGTGCCGGGTGTGGTGGAGCTGGAGGGGAGTGTGGAGCGGACAAGGGAGTCACGGAGAGAGTTGTCCCTCTGGAAAGCAGATAAGGGTGGGGAGGGAAAGATGTCTTTGGTGGTGGGGCCGGATTGCAGATGGCAGAAATGTCGGAGGATGATGCGTTGGATCCGGAGGTTGGTACGTGAGGATGAGGGGGATTCTTTTTTGGTTCTTATTGCGTGGACGGGGTGTGAAGGATGGGTGCGGGAGATTTGGGAGATATGGTTGAGGGCGTTCGACCACCGAGGGGGGGGAGTTACAGTCCTTGAAAAACGAGGACAACCGAGATGTACAGGAGTGGAATGCCTCATCCTGGGAGCAGATGCGGTGGAGGCGAAGGAATTGAGAATAGGGGATAGCATTTTTGCAGGAAGGTGGGTGGGAGGAGGAGTATTCTAGGTAGCTGTGGGAGTCTGTGGGCTTGAAATGAATATCGGTTTCTAGGTGGTTGCCCGATATGGAGACAGAGGTCCAGCAAGGGGAGAGAGGTATCAGAGATGGTCCAGGTGAACTTAAGGTTGGGGTGGAAGGTGTTAGTGAAGTGGATGAACTGTTCGAGCTCCTCGTGGGAGCACGAGGCGGCGCCGATACAGTCATCAATGTAACGGAGGAAGAGGTGGGGTTTAGGGCCGGTGTAGGTACGGAAGAGGGATTGTTCCACGTAACCTACAAAGAGGCAGGCGTAACTTGGGCCCATGCGGGTACCCATGGCTACCCCCTTTGTCTGTAGGAAGTGGAAGGAATTGAAAGAGAAGTTGTTGATTGTGAGGACGAGTTCGGCTAAGCGGATGAGGGTATCAGAGGAGGGGGACTGGTCGGGCCTGCGGGACAGGAAGAAGCGGAGGGCCTTAAGGCCATCTGCATGGGGAATGCAGGTGTAGAGGGACTGGACGTCCATGGTAAAGCTATGACAGGTACCAAGTGCCTTTGTAACCAAACTAAGAAGATACAAAGGATCAGAAAAACAAACTGACCAATTCTGAAGTTAACAAGATATGAAAAATGCAGTTCTCCTTTACAGTAAAGAAGCTGGTTAGTGTAACAGTTTTAAGCAGATAACAGGCCGATTAGTTTTATTAGTTCTATTTTCTTAAACAGAAAAAGATGACCTAATTGTGGTGTAACGATTTACTTATTTGGTAGGAAATATCTGGCATTCTGCATATTGGATTAAACAAGTTGAAAGATATACATAAACACCGAAATGACATTGTGCAATGTCAAAAAAATAACCAAATGTGGGGGTGTGCTTTGTGCAAAGCATGCAAAACACCACCCAAGAAGAAATGTCACACACCGTGGTCAGGCAGAGCTCTGATCTTATTCCTAGAATCAGAGATGAACACCATTCAAAATCTTCAATGAAAAGCATGCTCAGGCATGAATTACATTCAGTTCAAATATTTATGTTCTAACATGTTAATGATCACAGCAATACATATGCAAGCTAACTTTAAGAATTTTGATTTGAGTTCAAGGACCTAACTAAAACATTAGGTGAGCAAAAAAAAAACACTTCCACTGATATTTTCACACTGAAATGGAACACAACACCACTAAGACTAACATTCTTCAGCAGTTCCATGTTGGGCTATTGATCCTTGGCAGTATCTCTAACCAATGCCAGACAGCAAGACATTCAGATCTCTGGGCTCCTGTAATTCAAGTCTCATGTCCAGTTTGAGAAACAAGAAAATCATTTCATTCATCAGTTACATTGGCCTGAAGTGCTGGAATTCCCTTCCTTAAACTTTCCAACTCACCATCAAGTCATCGTCAAACAGCTTGCAATCAAACTGTTCAGTTCAACTAGTCCACGCCAACCATGTTCCTAAACTAAACCAGTCCCTGTATTTGGCCTATATCCATCCAAACCTTTCCTTACCCAAAAAGGTCTTTTAACCATTGCAACTGTACCGACATCTACCTTCTCTAGCAGTTCATTCCATGCACAAACCACTAAAAGTTACCCCCGCCCCCACCCCTCCATGTCCTTTAAGCCTTTCTTCTCAACCTTAAAAGTATGTCCCCTAGTTTTGAACTACCCCACCTTAGGGAAAGATGCTGGTCATTCACCTGATCAGCACCCCTCATGATTTTATAAGCCTCAATAAAAGGTCACCCTTCAACCTCCTATGCTCCAGTGAAGAGTCCCAATCTATGTTTAGATCTCAAACCCTCCATTCCCAGCAACATTCTGGTAAATCTTCTCAAGCCTCAAGTTTAATAATAGCCTTCCTATAGAAGAGTGACCAGAACTGCACACAATACTTTACCATGATCTGTACAACCTCAATAGGACATCCAATTCTTGTACAGAAAAGGTCTGAACAATGAAGGCAAGTGTGCGAAATACCTTAACCACCCTGTCTACCTTTGACGCAAGTTTCAAAGCCAATGCAGCTTTTTGAATTGGCCTCAGGGGTGTTTCAACAGCAAATTGGGTTTTCTCCATTTTTCTGCTTGGTTCTCACTTGATATTCTGCTGTTTGACATACAAGATATTGATTTACTACATACTTTTTCCTCATTTAAATGCACTGAAGTGACGTGGTTAAAATTCTTTACTAAGCTTAATTCTGA